GGTGCCCTCTGGCTTTCCAGCAGCCTTCACCCCATTCCTTATGCAGCTCCCAGAAGCAGCACTGCCTCCCCCCCCTTCAGAGCTCCAGGTCACTGCTGAGACAGCATCAGCCACAAGAAAGCCATATAAAGCCATCCTGCCTATAGAAGGACTATAAGAAACCACAAGTAACAAAATGTGGATTTTGCCATACACAAACATCTTCCAGGACAGCACTGGTCTATCTTTATCAAAGTGGGAGCTTCATGCTGCAAGAAGTACAGGAGTTGGAGTTTTTACATCATTCTCAACAGCACAGAGAAAGCATAAAAACTGCTTTATTGAAGATGATGTTTTTTCTTCTACTATTACATGAATGAAAAAATACAGTTGAGAAAGCCTGGACAGTTTCCCACTCCATCTTGTTCCTCATCTGCCAGTCCTCTCAAATTTCAGGTGGGATGAGAATAACCACAGTCAGCAACAGGACTACAGGTACACAGGATTTGCACTACAGAATGACTTCATTCATTCTGTGGGTGTTTTTGGTGACTGAAGAACAGAAACCTACATCTTCTCAATTTGTTAGCACTCTAACTCGTAGTGCTTCTCATTATTAAGTCATTATATTATTAACTCTGTCTTCCACAACTTAGTGACTCGAACATGTTCATCACACTAATACTCCTAGAGAACATTCACCCTGCCAATATAAATATTATAGACATTACTTGTATTTTAATAAATATTCTATAATGGGTAATACTGCAAAAAAGTCTATAATCTTAAATAATAGGAACAAGTAATTGGATATTTTCCCACACCAAAGTCAAACAGTATTTGAAATTGTATCTGAAGATTATTTTTAAAAAATCTGTACAAAAAGTAAAACTGAAACAGTCCTTTCCAGTGCAACACCACAATTTTAAACAAATGAAATCAAGCACTAAGGGCCATGTGTCTGAACTTCTTAAAGTTAGTGTTCCTAAAGGTATTAAGCAAGTGAAATCTCATGTGCTTTGCTATGCTAGCTCATGAAGCTGCTGTGATTTAGAAATCACTTGTGACAACTTCCACTTCTCTCTTTTTCAGAAAACCAAGCAGTTTAAAGCCACGTAGTTAACACTACTGAAAGGGCTTTTACAGGTTTGAAAACAAAATGAAACACAAAACACTTCCAAAATACATTTCCTGGGTATTTTGAATTGCAAAACAGAAAAACGAAACAAACCTACAAAGAAAATTCAAATGTACATACCTTAATAGGAGCTGTAGAGAACTTGACTTTTCGGTCTGGCACAGGATCTTCCTCTTCAGAAAGTCCAGGAAACTCCTCGTACTCACTGTCATACATATATTCCTCCTCTTCCTCCAAAATTTCGTTGCCTTCAGGGTCCTGGCTCTCTGTATCCCTATAATCATCAAAAGCTGCATTTTCTATTCCAAAAGCACAGAAGCCATCTCTCTGCTTTTCTACTACTTGCTCCTCTTCTCCAGTATCCCCCTCTTGCTGTAGAACATCCTGAACTGGACCATCTTTAACAGACATCCCATCTCTCACTTCTTCCTGATTGGTTCCGTTTCTTTCTGTAAACTCTTCTACTAAATCCAAGGAATAGCTGCTCCTTTTCCCTTCTTGTATTTGATATTTGAGTGGTTGATCCTCATTAACAACATGACCTTTATCCAAACCCTCTTTTCCATGCCCTGAGGTTTCATCTTGCACAGACAGCTCCACACAAGTCTCCTCAACAGGGGAAACCTGGGAAAGAATAGTCTCTGTTCTCCACTTTGCCTCCTGACAGGATATACTGCTCATATCCTGTAGACTTCTCTCCAGCACGGCTTTCTCTCTCTTGTCTTTTTCAAATACTTCACTCTGCCCACCTTTGTCTATCACAGACACTTTGGTGGAGGCAATCTTCTCTGGACTTCTTTCAGCAGTAGTAGATGAATCCGAACTGCAGTGGCTTTTCAAAGGGCCCTGATTCAGGTCATCACTTTTGGAAATTTCTTTGGAATCTTCAGTATCACTGTCACCTAGAAAGCTTTCCAGCCTCCTAGAAATGGGCCCAGCATTCAAGATGGAAGTTTTGGAACCATTATTGGGATGCTGCTGCTTCAGCTCACTACCATGATTTTCAACCTTATCCAGTGCGACTGAAGGACTCACATCTGTATTAAAATTGAAGTGGTCTACCACACTGCTACAATCAGAAGCTGAACCACGTCTCCTCTTATCTTCACTTCTTTCACATTTGCTGGGAGAATATCTGTCCACAGAACTTCGTTGTTTTATATTTCTCTCAAACAGCTTCCTGGTCTCCGAAAACTTTTCTGCCAGGGCAACTTTGTCCAAGTCTGCCTCATCGTTGCTACGTATGATCTTATCAGCAGTAGAAGCCACAGACGACAAATCCACAGGACTGCTGCTGGGGCCAGTATTTGTATTAAGAAGATTGTTCTTTTGGATAATGAGGAAAGATGTGCTACCCGGAGAAGGCCCATGTTCTGCTGCTGTGGCCCGACTGATTAATTTGGTCTCAGCAGGTGGACTACTTTCACAAGAGGGTGTGGAAGCGGAGCCTCCCATTTGCAGAAACATACTTTTGATCTTGTGAACTCTATTGCCATAAGTGGCAGCTCTACCTCGACTGTGCGGGTCATTTCCCCCTCCATTAGAAGAGGTGCTCAGCTTCTGCTGCAAGCCCGTTTTGTTGGAAACGTTTTCAGGACTGTTCACTCCATCAAAAGAGCATTTGATAGCGTGGAAGTCAGATTTGTAGGCATTTCGATGTGGAGAAGCACTTCTTAAAGTCCTTTCCCCTTTGCCCTCAGTTTTCATCATCGTCAGAGAGCAGCTCCCTCAGCTCCTGAGGAGCGGAAAGGAAAACTCACAGGCACCAAGCTGCCACCCTCCGACGCCGCGCAGAGCGGATCCTGCAGAAGAGCTGCCTTTTCCCCCTCAGCCGGCCTCCACGCTCACATTCAGACGGGCTGCGCCGGTGCATACACGGAGAGAAAGAAATCACAGCGCCTGTACGGCCACATCGGATGTTATCTCCGCTGCGGATCACAGTATCCAGAAGGCCATCTGCAAGGGGACGCAGAGTTTTAATTAACTCGGGACCTCGCCAGCGTGCGACACGAATCCCGAACTCGCGTTCCCGGGCGGGAGAGCGGCGCGAGCCCAGATAAAGCCCATTGTGTCCGCCGGGACGCGCGGCCACGGCTGGCGGCGGCCGCCCGGGCATTAGCCCCGAGGGCTCCGCGGAGCAGCGGCCGTCCCCCGCCCGGCATCCCTCCGCCCGGCGCCGGCTGCCAGGGCCGCGGGGCCGCAGCACGGGGAGGAGGGGTGAGGCCGCCGGCCCTTCCTGCCTCCCAAGGAGGCCGGGCCGAGGCGAGGCAGAGGGACCCGGGTGCCCGCGGGCCGCCCGGAAGAGAGGGAGCCGCGAGTTTCGGCGGCGAGTCGGGGCTCCCCAGCGCCTCCGCACCTCGGGGGCCGCCCCGGCACCTCGCCCCAAACTTTCCGAGCCGGCCTACCTGGGGGCGGGGGTCCAGCCAGCTCCTTCCCCTCAGCGCTCCCGGCCGCCCGGCGGCCGCGCGCACCGCGCCATCGTTACCCGCCGCCCAGCGCTCCCCACGCCGCCTTCCTCCCGCCCCCGCGGCCCCGCTCCAAACCGCCCGCCCGCCCCGCGCCACCTCTCACGCCGCTCAACGCCCTCCTCGGCTCGGCTCGGGCCCGCCCGCGCGCCGCCTCGCTCCGCTCGCACACAAAGAGAGGGAGCGGCGGGCGCGCCCTCGTTCCTCTCGGCGCGAGGGAAGAGAGGGGCTGGGGGGGCCGAGGGCAGCCCGGGATCTACCACGCCGCGCGAGTTGCGGGTGATACCATGTCGGCGGGACCGGCGGCCGTTAGCGCGGGGCGGGGCGGCCCGGGGCCCGCGAAGACGTCGAGGCGAGTGGCGGCGGGGAGCGGCCCGGGCCTGGCCCGCCGCACCCTCACCGAAGAACGCGGCCGAGGCGCCGTCCGGGCCGCCCCCGGGGAAGGGCCGCGCGGGATTTTCGAAGCCCGGCGCGGCGGCCGCGGTGTTGATGCCGCTCCCGGCTGAGGGCGTCCCGGCGCGGATAGCCGGAAGTAAAGGGAACGCCGCATCCGCAGACTTTTCTCCCTTTTTCAAATCCACGCCGTTTTAGCAGAAAACCCCCTGACGAGCACGTGGCGCCGGGCGGAAATTCTCTCCGCCGGTACCAAGCGAGAGCCCGGCGGGCAGCGGCGTGTCGGGCACGGCTCTGCGGGGCCGCCGGGAGCCGCGGAGCGCCTTGCCAGCGGGACTGCGCGTGCACAACTGCGTCGGTCCAAATTGCGGCACGGGCTGTGAGCCATCCCGCGAGGTGCGCGGATCGGGTTACTGGCCAGAAGCTGCTTCCACGTAGTATGTACAAATCGCACAACGATCAAGAGAGCACCCAAAGAAACCAACAGAATGCCTGTATTAAAAAGTATTAAAAAGAACTGCAGGCAGATTCTGTGTTTTTGCCCTGTGGGAACGTCCAAAATGTGATGGTTTTTCATTCCAAATTCAAATAACTGAGTTTCCAGAGGAACAAAAACTTGAGAAGAGCCAAAGTGCATTTCATCTTGTAGTTACCAGACCAGCGGTGAAATTCAGACATTCTTACAGACATCCACACTGGCTTTTTCTAGCACTTCATTTTTCTGAAACAAAGGGGCTATGAAATTCTTCAGACTTTCTTCCGTGTTTTCAAGTGTTGGGACAGCAGTGTTCACCAAGACCTGCCTCTAGCAGCCTAAGGTACACCCTGAAGTGCTGCTTTAAGTAACGTTTTACAATAAGTAGTTTCAATCCAAGAGTGACAAATGTTTCACATGTTGAGAATATGTAGTTCTTACCTAGAACAAAGTAGCAGTGACCTTCCTCCCATATCTCCAGAGACCGTTCTTCCTGGGGCTCCCAGGCTGGGCTGAAGCTGCAAGGCTTCTGCACCATTTCCAATGCACAGTGCTGTAAGAGAACACAAAGAAAACCTCCTTGTACAAAACAAAGTAAATACAGGGTTGTTCTGCAGTTTGAACACTGGGCAAAGACCATTCTGTGCACTGTTTCAGGAGCCTGCCAGCACGTAGGAGGCAGTTCAAAGGAAAACAAAGGCAGAGCTCAGGAACAGCATAATAATAGAGCTCAGCTCCAACCTGTGCCCAGGAAAGTGAAAGGCCTTTGCACAAGGTGCCTAAATGAGGCTGCAGCAGGAACATACTCTCCTGTTTTGGATTCCCCTGTGCTTCAGGAAGGTGGGATTACAGAGCATAAACATAAATGTAAATGCACCAAAGATATCTTTATAAGGAAAAAAAAAAAAAAAAAAAAAAAAAAAAAGTCTTATTCTACCTAGGATAAGATATGCAAGTTATTTAGGCTAACTATGCTGGCTAGAAGGGACAAGGGACAACATTATCAGGATGGACTGGTTTCTAGTGAGGAAAGACTGAACTGTACTCTAGGTGAACTGATATGGAGGAAATAACAGAACTATTTACAGAAACAATGACTAACAAGATTAGAGGAATTCAAGATAAGTACATCTGGAATTTGAGCAAGAAATCTGGGAAGGTGAAGTAGCTTGGGATTTCGCCATAGCTAAAACTGCAGTGAAACCCAGGAAGAGCATCCCCGAGATTCAGACTGTGGAGGTAAAACTGGTGAATAAGCAAGTGGTTTGCACTGAGCATTTTGGCAGTGGAGTGTATTCTGGAAGGACCTCGGCTGCTCAAAATCTTGGGGAAAAGGAATGTATTGTGGTATATGAACTCATGAAACCCAAGAGACAGACAAAAAGGAAATGGTTTCCACGAAAAAGAAGATTCCGTAAACTCGGTTACCCAAACTGCACTGAGGTAAGGTTTGTTTCAGCATTCACTCACAGACCACCACTAGTACAAGAATTACAATATGTGATGGTAAACTAGACCAGATTTTGGAATGGGATTCCCCTAGCAGCTTGCTTTTTCTTTAGAACATTACAGTTGCACAGCAGGACCCCAAAGATTACAAGTGTTGTGGATGAAGAAATGCTTGAAAGACAGGAGCTAATTAAGTTTCACTCAGTTCCATTCAAATCATGCTGGATAACTTGGTAATTACTCTGCTGCGTGCCAACAGCACCACAGAGAAAGCCTGAAACATCACTGCGTTTGTCTTTGCTATTGTATATGATGACATATATGTTCAGCATTTCATTTCTAAAACTGCAGCCCCAGTGGTTGGGTAAGTTACTGCCTGTTCTGTGTTTTGCTTCTTCTTCTTCAAGTTGAAATGGAGCTGAAATGGTGAACAGCAATGCTGTAATCTGGATGGTTTACTCTTGGTTTCTCCTGCTATTGTCACCACTGAGCCTTCCCCATTCTCCCATTCCTTTGTTTTCAGCTGTCACTTGAGCCAAATTATAAAGAAAAAGCCTTTCTTCAGTAAGCATACTGTAGAATGGCATATTTTATAGGTCTGAAAGAAAGAAAAAAGTGGGCCATTAGTACAGGCCCTAATAAGAGTTTTATTTTTAAAATTTGCAAGTGCATTAAAAAAAATACTTTGTTGCAAGCAAACTTTAGTTAGAAAGCTATTATGGTTTCTGAGTACTGACACTGTGAGCTAAGTGCCAGTACTGAACACTCAAGTCCTCAGCTTTCACGGTTGTCACTTCTGCCTCACAGCAGGGCTGACCTCTCTAATTCCCAAACGTGTCTGTTGTGCAAAGCTCCAGGGAGGGGCAATTCTGTTTGATAATATACATCATGCCTATCTAATGTATTAATTTTCATAAATCAGTACTTCATTTGCCACTTGCTGACTAAGAGCTGGGCCCTTTAGGGACAGGGTTGTCTGCAGAATGGTAAATCCAGTTAGTAACTAGTTCCTCCTACAGCCCACCCAGCGTGTTGTTTCTCAGAAATCCTGTGAATTAATACCCTGACTAATATTCTGGCCACAGAACCACAAACAGTAAATGAAGGTTGATGCAACAGCACTGAAACCTGCATTGAGAGCTACTGGCATGCCAGCATGTTACCAATGATTTCTGCAAGCTAACATTACTTTACATCACAGCTCCAAAGCACATTGGAGATTCTTCACTGGAAGAATCTCTTGAGTTCCAAGTCTACAGAGCCTCCTACTCCCTTAAGCTGCTAAAATAATAATAATAATGATAATGATAATGATAATGATAATGATAATAATAATAATAATAATAATAATAATAATAATAAAAAGCCTGACTAGAAAATGCTTGTGATTTTGTGATTTCCCTCACCTTACAAGACCCATTCCTGAGGCATCCAAACCCTCACAGCCACTTGCCACACTGGCAAACTCATGAAAAAGAAAAAAAAAAAAAAAAAAAAGCAGCAGGGATGTGAAGAAAGATGCCATTGTAGAATTCTGTGAACACTGGTTTGAGAACATACCAGGTTTCTCAAGCATAGTAAGCAGATGTTAGCATGACAAGGAGGCAGGGGGTCTTAATAAGAGCCATCCTACTGAATGCTTTTTGAGCAGAAAAATCCCTCAGTGCATTTTTTGGCTTGATAACTGGAGTGCTGATGACATGGTTTAATTGAATTTACAGGAATTCAGCAAATAAAGTTCATGACTATTGTCTATTTCACCAATTTCCAAAGGAACAAAGCACACGCTGTCACACTGCCTGCATATTTCTGAGTATCTCCTACTCTGCGGAGACTTTTGAAAACTGGCCAACTGGTTCAACCAGATTTGACACTGCCTAAGACTTTCCAGCAATAATTATGTTCTAACAAGTTTTGTAAAAACAGGCAGAGGAGGAAGAGAGACCTGGTAAAATCAGCCAAGGGAAAGGTAAGAGATTGCTCCTTACAAGCCATTGGAGAATCCTGCACAAGTCACACAGGAGGAAAACGTGATGAATGTTGTCAGTCGTAAGAAAAGCCTCAGTTTGAAATTGCATCTTTTTAAAAGTGGAAGTCAGTCAACTAAGAGACACGCAGTGGAAGGATAACCGACATCTTTAATTCCAGACTTCACAGCACAATTTCTTATTCAGAAGCATTAGTTTCTGTTTGGCCAAGCAGTTTTTATACAAAACCCAAAGTGCTTCTGTAAATCTCTTATCTTAATAATAATCAAGAAAGCTATGAGACTGATTTGAAATAAGTCCTGCTCACACAGTTACGTGCATTTAAAAAAGAATAAAGAACATCTATGTTGTTTCATAGCACTACTAGGAAATCATTCTGTTAAAATGCCTACCCAGAAGACATATATGCTAATGTACACTTAAAAAGGCACTTAAAAAAGTATTTTTGAGTTATAAGATAACCTCATAACCTTTGACAGGCACTCCTTAAAAAGTATCTTAATTTTAACCTTCCTATTTCCCAGACCATCTAAAAAACAGACACATGTATGCAGAGATTATGTTTAGATTATAATTTAAAGCCAAGCCAACGTAGGTTGAAAGCAAACTAGAAACTTTATAACTGCTTAGTTTTTAAATTGAACTAGCACTTATGTCATAAAGTGAAAAAGGAAAAAGTACAATCTCATAGATGAGTAAATTGTTTCCCTGAGTTACTTACAATTTCGAATAAATAAGGCAATATTTTGAAATTCTGTCAGTATAGAACATATATGTCCTTAACATTTCCTAGACTTAGAATATTAAAAAACAAACAAAAAAAAAACAAAAAAAAACAACTAACCATCAACTAATAATGTCACAAAAGCAGGAGAAAAGTATGAAGTGAATTCAGGTTCAAAAATTCAGTTAACTTCTTTAGTAAGGAAGGCTGAGTTGTGTGAGTGATAATTATGGAAAATAACACAAAAACGAAAGGTGGAGATAAAAACAGAAGGTACAATTTAGGTATACACTATACACAACAAAACAAAAAACAATTTATATCACAAAATCACAGAATTGTAGGGGTTGGAAGGGACCTTCAGAGATCATCGAGTCCAACCAGATCTGTTATGTACCAGGAAAATTTTTAGTATGATGCAAGGAACTACCAAGAAAACATGCCATTTCCTAGCTTTCTTTAGACAGAAAAGAGGAATCAGATGCCCACTGCAAGATGTACCTGCAATTATGGTAGATGAGTAAGCAAATGGCATTACAAGAAAAAAAAAAAGAGAAGCATTTTATGTAAATGCTAAATTCTCATCAACATTTTCAGAGAAATTATTATTATCAGTGAAATTATCAGTGAATCTGTAAAATAGCTTTAAGGGTGTATATATATGTGCGTGTCTATACAATCAACAGTAATTAGAGCTAATTTTGGAAAGTTCAACTAAAGACATTCAGTTTTTCCTTGGAAAAGTCCTCATTTAAAAAAATTTTAGAGGACAAAATAACTGTAAAGAAAATTCTTTACCATTAAGACAGATTTTTTTTTTTTTTAAATGTGAGAAGACATATTTCACTTAAGCTGTTTTTTCTCATTTCTAATTTTGCTTTTGAATCCAATCACACATTGTCCAGATCTAGCAAGAAATAACTATCTTATGACTGAAGTCTTTCCTACCATAACCCCTAAAGAGGCAAAAAGAAACCCACACTCTCCAAATCCAAGCAAAAAAGTAATCTCTCAGAAGCAATCACCAAGATTTGCACTACTGTTATGAACTATGACTGAAAAAATACATTGTGGGAGAGCAATTTCCTCTTCAGTGCCTGGTGAATAGCAGGCACTACCGCTTTCTGAACTGCAGAGAGATGTGCCAGCCACCTGTTCGAAGGTATTATCTAATTTGAAAATTTCTGTCAGATGTTTGTATTCAAGTGTCACTCAGAATGGTTCAAAGAACTTCATTATCTGCTGGTGGGTTATCACTGTTTCAATGCTACTACTAAGGGACTCATCTTGACAGCTGATTGACTGATTCAATTAGACACATTTAAGATGTATATCAGTACCCTGTGGAAAGATAAACAAAGTGCCCATTCCTTTTATTGGTAGGTGGAAGTTTCCTTGTTTAAGGGGAGCCGAAACCAGCCTGGCTGATTTCCTAGATTTCACAGCTGGAGCTACTTCAGAATTACATTCCTAGGCTCTCTGACGGCAACGCTGCTGGCTCATTTTGTACTTATTTTTGGAGCAGAAGAATGAGAGGCCATTCACGATGGCTTTTTAATTTAGGAAATACCATTAACAGGCTTCTACACTAACGGACTCTCAAATAAATGCGCTCTGGAAACAAACTTAAAAGACTGCTCCTGTAACATTGTTTACATTATTTTCTAAATATACAGGCTGTATTCTTATAGTAAAAGTCAATGCAGACATACCCATATAAGGAATGAAACATTCGTTTCTGTATCTTTATTTAAGAAGCAATGTAGTACTATCAGTAGCCATAAAAAAAAATTATCCCTTGAAAAGATTCCGTCCTGGCCTTACATCCCTATCCTTAATATTTCCCATTATCATTTTAAATAAGGAAAGCATCTCAGGGATTAATCCGAAGCATGCTCACATTACTGAAAAATCACTTTCATCTTGAAATAAGTGTGCTTTTGGTGAGGTTTGGGTCTGTGTAACAACAACTGCATACTCAGTTGGCATATCTTTGCCTCCAAGCCAGCACTGGACAAGCGGTTATCTATCACTGATGCAACCTAGAACAACTAGCTGGAGAAGTAGCAGCAATCCACTGGCAATCAGAGGGCAAGTCCCAAACGTAACAGCATGGAAAGAAAGGCTGGGTGGCTGTCAAGCATGCTGAATCACAGGAAATTAAAGAGAGCTTCACTTTTGTTATAGACTTTCCCCACACTAGAGTTTAAGCCTCTAATCATGGAGCTAAATCAAGGCTGAGCCTGGAAAGTAATACTTTAATATGGTCATAGCAACTACAGTTAAGGTTACAGAAAAGCTGATTACAGCAACTTGTTTTAAACATGAAAACAAAACCACAGAGCTGCTCACATGGATGTCTTATGGGATAAATATGTGAGTACAGAAAACATCACAAGATGTAACAGGAAGGACAGTAGAATCAAGTAGAATCAATTGTGCCTCAAGGCACAATCTAGCTCTGATGTTTTTGTTAATCCTCTAGCTCTAGGTATGTATTCACACCCCAAACACCAGACAGCTGGTGATCATAGCCCTGTGGTGAAGCACACTAGCAAAATAAATTATACTGTGTAATCACATCTTTCCAAAGAGTGGTATTTAATGAGACTTTGGAGGTGTCTTTCTCAAAACTTAGACCTACCAGTAAAGCACAAGTCCTAGTGTGCTGCTCATCTGTCCTGTTTTCATGTCAAAGAACAACCTGATGTGCCTTTGCAAAAGCTGCTTTAATAATACGGATGTGCACTGGAGGATTTTGGCAGTGAATCTTTCCAAAGAGTCTTTCCCCAGTACTTGGTCTGACATACCATACTACTGAGCTTATTTAAGCAGCTGCCAATTTCTTAATATCAGAAATAGAAAAAAATTCCTCATTCCAAAGCCTGTAAGTTTTTTTTTTTTTTCCCAAAATTACCTCTGTCTGAGATATTAACCAGGCAACATTCAGCTTTGCAGTAATAACATCTCAATAACTTGTCTACTCATGCTTTAATTCTCTGAGAAATAAGAAACTTTTTTTCTTACTGTTTTCAACATTTGTTTTCTGTCCTGAAAAGCTTTTGAATACAGCCTAAAATTAGAACTTTAGATGAATAAAAAGTATGTTGGGAAATACATGGATCATTTCACGTTCATTGGTTTGATTTGATTTGATTTTTATTTTTTTTTTCCTGCATTATGAGAGCTTTGCACACAAGGATCTAAGTCCCAGGTTGTCAGGAAGGATAAAAAAATCAGTTCCATAGAACTAGCATAACCCTTAAAAACTATTCTAAAAACAGTATTTTTGAAGCCTGTGTAAAAGAAGTTGCATTGAAATAAATAGCAACATGCCATAATCTACAACAAATGAAGCTGCTATTACTTAATATTCAGTTCATGTTAGACTTTACAGATGTTCAAAATGTTAACTCTGCTAGAATTAGACTCTTCGTATTTGGCCTCACTGTATAATTGGGCTCCTCTGAGCTACTAAGACTTAGTCCTCATCCTGCCAACTGTTTACATTCTGAAACTAAAAAAATTGCACAGAAATTCTTTCAGTCACTGCCTCTTCAAAATAAGATACTGTGACTCAAAACTCCTTCAAATCGGTGCAAATATACTTAGTCACATATTTGTGGTGATGAAATTCACAAGAAGAAACTATAATCAACCATGGCTGTGGCCCTTGCTACATTTCCTGCATCTTGTTGCCTGCTCACTAACTTTGCCTTTCTGTAAGTTGCTCCTGGTGCTTCTAACACTGACCAAGGCAACAGGATAAAAAATAATCAGACGCTCTCTTCTTCTCACTTTAAAATTAATTGAATTAGATACACAAAATAAGAAAATCTCAATTCAGAACCAGATGATTTTTTTTTTTTGTAATGATTAAAATTGTTAAGGAAAACTTCAATCACTGATAAACTACTGGCTTCCCATGGCAGTTATTTCTGCCTCTGATGGCATTATACAGGGGAAAAGCAGATTTGGAAAATATGCCTGCAAAGGAGCACTTAGATACAGATCTGGTTTAAAGTCAGTATGTACATCTGGGTTGTCTTTCTTGGGTTTACAGAGTACCTGGTCTAAGGAGCAGACTTTCATATAGATACTAAGCCTGAAAATCTACTCAAACACTATTTTAGCCAGCAGGTGCAGCCACCAAAGTGGCCTCATCTCATCTCAATGAAAACTGTCACTCCATGGAACATGTTTCAATATGCTTTCTAAATTTTCTATGAGTCACATAGCTTCATTTTTTATCTTCATCAAAACCTGTATTTTACCCAATTTTGGAGGTTTCTTTCTGTTATGCAGTCATTTAATTAGTTTGTCTAGACAACAATGTGAGGTCATCATCATACCATCTGTTAAACTTGTTTGGCTTTGTGTGTTCACAACTCGTTTCAGTTCAGACGTTACTAGAACATCCTTACAAATGAGGGCAAACCAGACTAAATCATATTTCCCAAGCAAACTACAGGTAATAGGTCTCCTATCACAGGGAACGGTGCTATTTAATGGCATACTATTTAATCATAGCTTTATTACAGATGTATTTAGAATTCATTTCAAGCTGATCTTACAATATCTTCATTTTCATCTAATCAACATACTATGGATGAAATAAAAAATGATCTTCCTGTTTCTATATTGCTTCCGTACTACATTTTGCAACCTTAATACTTCTAAAGTAAGACAGATTACTTTGCCCAAAGTATCAAATGTGTGGTCACCTCTCTTTGATCTGATTAGTGCCAAGATAGTCTCATCCCACATACATTAGAAATAAGATTATCTAGATAGAAATTTAAGAATGCTGGCATTCTATTTCTTGACCTTCTGAGTTAAGTTGCAACAATAACAAAAAGAGAAAAAGCAACTAAAATTAGAAGTGCTCTAAGTGCAATAAGGAGACCAAGAGGTATTTCCTGTTTATGACTTCATCCAGATTCTCCCTTCTGCAGGTACATTCGAAATATTTATTCATCCACCACTGGCAGATAATTCAGCAGCAGAAGTGGAAGCTTCTTCTGCACTTATTACTCCTGCTCTAGTGTGGAATGACAATTCACAAAATGAGTTCGTTTCCCATTCTCATTTGGGTTTTTTTTAAACCTCTTAAAAATCTGGTCTAGTATCACAGAGCATGAGGGAAGATGGTTTTTGGATAATACAATGAAATATACTCATTAGCCTCTTAGAAGTACATTTGAGGTTGCACTGAGGCCACTGAAGTATTTTCAAGGCTAGACATGAGCCAAATAATAACAACTTCAATTTTCCAGAGGAATTTCCTGGGCCTAGAGATGAGAAGACTTTATTATG